TGTGATGTGATTCAGGACTGGAAAAATTGCAAATCGGGCACACTGGGTGCTATCTTGTATCAATTGTTGAACAAATGGCTTGGCACACAGAGTTTAAACCAACATTGTACTGAAAAAAGATAGATTTTTACACTGGTGTGAGTGTACAGTGGTGTGAAAAAGTGTTTGCCCCCTTACTGCTTTCTTATCTTTTTGCATGTTTGTCACACTGTAATGTTTCAGATCGTCAAACAAATTTATATATTAGTCAAAGATAACACAAGTAAACACATCATGCAGTTTTTAAATGAAGGTTTTTATTATTAAGGGAAAACAAAATCCAAAACTATATAGCCCTGTGTGAACAAGTGTTTGCCCCCCTGTCAAAACACTGGTTTATCGCACCTGAGTTCAATTTCTCTAGCCACACCCAGGCCTGATTACTGCCACACCTGTTCGCAATCAAGAAATCACTTAAATAGGACCTGCCTGACAAAGTGAAGTAGACCAAAAGATCCTCAAAAGCTAGACATCATGCCGAGATCCAAAGAAATTCAAAAACAAATGAGAAAGAGAATAATGGAGCTCTATCAGTCCGGAAAAGGTTATAAAGCCATTTCTAAAGCTTTGGGACTGCAGCGAACCACAGTGAGAGCCATTATCCACAAATGGCGAAAACATGGAACAGTGGAGAACCTTCCCAGGAGTGGCCGGCCGACCAAAATTACCCCAAGAGCGCAGCGACAACTCATCCAAGAGGTCACAAAAGACCCCACAACAACATCCAAAGAACTGCAGGCCTCACTTGCCTCAGTTAAGGTGAGTGTTCATGACTCCACCATAAGAAAGAGACTGGGCAAAAATGGTTTGCATGGCAGAGTTCCAAGACGAAAACCACTGCTGAGCAAAAAGAACATAAAGGCTCGTCTCAGTTTTGCCAGAAAACATCTTGATGATCCCCAAGACTTTTGGGATCATACTCTGTGGACAGACGAGACAAAAGTTGAACTTTTTGGAAGGTGTGTGTCCCATTATGTGTGGCGTAAAAGTAACACTGCATTTCAGAAAAAGAACATCATACCAACAGTAAAATATGGTGGTGGTAGTGTGATGGTCTGGGGCTGTTTTGCTGCTTCAGGCCCTGGAAGACATGCTGTGATAAGTGGAACCATGAATTCTGCTGTGTACCAAAATATCCTGGAGGAGAATGTCCGGCCATCCGTTTGTGACCTCAAGCTGAAGCGAACTTGGGTTCTGCAGCAGGACAATGATCCAAAGCACACCAGCAAGTCCACTTCTGAATGGCTGAAGAAAAACAAAATGAAGACTTTGGAGTGGCCTAGTCAAAGTCCTGACCTGAATCCAATTGAGATGCTGTGGCATGACCTTAAAAAGGCGGTTCATGCCCGAAAACCCTCCAATGTGGCTGACTTACAACCATTCTGCCAAGATGAGTGGGCCAAAATTCCTCCACAGCGCTGTGGAAGACTCATGGCAAGTTATCGAAAACGCTTGATTGCAGTTGTTGCTGCTAAGGGTGGCCCAACCAGTTATTAGGTTTAGGGGGCAAACACTTGTTCACACAGGGCTTTGTAGTTTTGGATTTTGTTTTCCCTTAATAATAAAAACCTTCATTTAAAAACTGCATGATGTGTTTACTTGTGTTATCTTTGACTAATATATAAATTTGTTTGACGATCTGAAACATTACTGTGTGACAAACATGCAAAAAGATAAGAAATCAGTAAGGGGGCAAACACTTTTTCACACCACTGTACATCTGTCAATTTAAAACAAACAAACAAAAAAAAAAACTGTCCTATACAGCTACATCAAAACGTCCACTTTAGTGTTCAGTGTCAGCACAGATAGGATGGAATTTGAGTCATCTGCAGTGTTTATATCATTTGCTGACAGATGTTAGCTCCCAAACTAAGGACTAAGAGGAGCTGAGATCGAGGTGCAGAGTCAATAGGATGTTTAGGTCCAGCTCAGAACATACTTCTTTTTGGAAGGATCGCTTTTTTATGCTGTGTACGCTGCCATTTAACTGTTTGGACACACTTTACAATTGAATTCAGTGGCAAAGTGTGTCCAAACAGTTGACTGGTAATTTTTCTGCTTTCTCAGTATGTTTTCATCACACTGCTCACCCTTTTCCAAAAGGCCTTCAATGCAAACCTCCTCTCGGGCTACCTACCTCAGCCTTTCTCCATCATAGCTGATCCCTAGTTATAATAGTTTGAACGTAGTTTTGGTTGATTAAAATAATTGTACTTTACTTGCAATACTTTTGAAAATCCATTTTATGTTCCTCTCATTTTTCAAAAAGGTTTATATTATTCCTGTTTTTTCATGAAATTAGATGATACTTTACAACCATTTGCATATTTGTTGGAATTGCAGTTCTGAAGTGTTATGGAAATATTAAAAGTGCTAAACGCTTTTATAAAAATGAGTCACCACACAGCCTTAAAGAATTAGTGCATATTCAGATGAGCAATATGAGAGCTGAGAAACTAGAAACACATCCACTAAGACAAATTTTTCATTTGAAAAACTATCATTTATCTTCAGCATTTTAACTTGTTCAATTAATTGTTAGATTATGGCCAAATGGAGAGAGGGAAGTCTGGGCATCTTTGCTTAGACTGCTGCCCCCGCGACCCGGTCCCGGATAAGCGGAAGAAAATGGATGGATGGATGGATGGCCAAATGTTCCCTGGTGTACTTACATTTCCTGCAGTATATTTCACTCGATACATTCACTTTGCCATAACAGATTATGGTATGTGATTTATATCACAGTAGTCACAAATATAGGAGCTTTTTCAATATATGTATTATGAATTTAACAGTAATATTTGACATATGCAAACTGATATAAGGTTATGAAAAACTGTCAGTAGCCTACTACCAACCAGAGAAAGTATAGGCAAAACTAATTTTGGAGCAATACAGAATTAAATGCTTAAAAAAGGAGATGCCACTTTCAATTGTGTTTCAAAAACAGCTGATGAATTAGCTACTTGTAAAGCCACATGTAATGAATCACAAACTGAAGAGCAATACTTTTATTTGTCAAACTATTGCTGTTACATGCAGAAATATATACCGCTAATGCTAGTTTGATATTCATGAACAAGCTGTTCTGTGTCCAGAACCTGCCTGTGACTGGAATGAAAGAAATAAGTAGGTGAATGCATAGCTATGAAATAGTTGCTTCAGCTCTACAGTTAATTACTAGCAGAGCTCTGCCCTGCTTCCACCTGACTGGAGGTCTAATCTGGTTGCATTTCATCTTGTGAATGAAAAAGTGTTAACATCTGTGTTTGTGAAGCTCAGACTGTTTCTGTTTTTGATGAAATTGTCATAAATGTATAAATGCAGTTTATACATTTACACAATAAATTTGTTTATTATTTAAGTTATAGTTCAAGGTGGTGTTGTACTGGACTACATTAAATTTAGAGGTGTTTCTATATTTTCATCCTTCCCAGCTACATACATGAGAGAACCAGAATATTAGGAACACCTGCAGCCAGGCACTCTGACTGATTGATGGTAGAATTCAAGCCCCATGATCATTTTGTGACTGCTGAGAGTAGAATTGTGGGACATTTGACAAGAAATGTGGCTACTTTATATAGCCATGTCATAAATTGATAGTTGATTTCTTAAATATTAGTTATGCTTAATATTCTATATGCAGTGGCCAAGTAATGAAAATATCTTCAGCTATATTCATTTCATTTATTAGATTTGCGCATACACTTTAACCAAGTGTGATACTACAAGTACCACAATGCACCATTACATTCTCTACCAGGAAGAAACATGGCTGCCTACAGTTTCCCAACGGGCTTTTTTTTTTTTTTTATTGACGTTTCGTTTTTTGTCTTTTTCAACACGAGCGGTGGAATAAATAACCAGTGTCAGAAGCTGCATTGAGTAACAATTTTATTCAATTAATCGTCGGAGTTTCGGCAAGAAGACGCAATTTTTACAGTCGTAGTGACACCGACAGCTTGATTTTTTTCTCTCCATGTTTGCTGTGAGCTGGCAGTCTGCGAATGTTGACTTTTGTTAGCGTGTTAAGATAGCCAAAAACATAGCTGCGAGTACAACGCACAAACCCGGTATTAGCCGCTATGTTTTGTCCAGTAAGGTCTTCTTATTTTAGGGTTAGCCCGGCTATTGTTAACAGAGAACTCGGCAAGACCAAGATGAGATAGCAAGAGGGCACACGGTAGTGCTAACACACAAATTACTGCGAGGCTGAGTCCCAGCAGAACTCAGACAAAACTGAGTGGAAGAAAAACCTCACACAGCATGTTTGGGAATCTTTTTGAGGAAGAAGAGGAGGAAGGCTTCTCTTCGACTTCCTCCAAAGGAAGAGTTTCAAAGGGCGGAGATGAGCCACCTCCACCCCGAGGAAGAAGCAATCTGTGCGGAATCAAGAACCAGGGAGGGACTTGTTATCTCAACTCTCTGCTCCAGACCCTGATGTTCACCCCGGAGTTCAGAGGTGAGGACAAGTGACTTTTCCTCTGGAAGGAAGAGACTGAGGTCCATAAAGTAGATAACCGGATATAACTGTATCCATTCTGTTTATGTATTTATTTATTCTTTGGTATGTGTTTTTGCAGAGGAGCTGTTCAGTTTGGGGCCAGAGGAACTTGGATGTCTGGAAGATAAAGACAAACCAGGAGCCAAGGTAAGTGTTGCAAAGTATCTCTAAGTGGAACCACATATATCAGGTACTGTATGTGTTTGTAAAGTGTAATGAGGTTTTCCTTTTCTCCTCAGGTCAGAGTGATCCCACTGGAGCTCCAGAGACTGTTTGCTAGTCTGTTGCTGGTGGACCAGCAGAGCGCCTCCACAACTGACCCCACTGACAGCTTTGGCTGGAACAGCAATGAGGTCTGTGTCCATTATCTTTGTCAGCGAGAAGGAAAATAGAGGCTCACCTTACACTTTGGATTTCAGTGATTAATTTACCTTCCAGTCTTATGCACAAATGCATACAGAGTTTCAGAAAACTGGATTTCAAATGTGCTAAAAGTGTTCAGGCCAGGAACCTGACTGGAATTTCATGTCTCCCAGCTGCAGTCATGCAAAAATAAATAAAGGGCAAAAACAGAAAGAAACTGACAGAATTTGCCATGGGACATTCATAACCACCTTGTCCAGGTCAAGACTATATACAGTATACATAAATGTGATTAAAGTTGAACCAGAGCTCTGACACCATCAAAATGGAAAATGTAACTTAAGACCTAGATGTGGGAGGTCAAAATGACCACGAGCTATGTAAATGGTGGGTTTAAATTAAAGAGTGACATACTCTGTCCCAACCTCTTAGGCCCGTGACACTAAGCCAACAGTCGGCCGTTGTGCCCTGCTGCTTTGTTGGTGAGTGTTTGTCAGGGCTTGTCTTCTTGGTGTGTCCTGCACCACTGGCACTAGTCAGACCCTATCAGTGGCTTTTCAGGTGATTTGGCATGTTGAAAAGCCATCTGACCTCATTGGCAACAGAGACCACTCTGACTTGCTGTTCTGCTTAGCAAGTCAAAGCATGAGAAGAGAAATATTCAGGAATGCTACTTGAGCCTGTTGCTGTAGCATCCATGATTTCACCCATTTAGTGCAGTTTCCTTATTTTTTGCCTCCACGGCCTCCTTTCTTCTTCTACAACCAAATGACCAAGCCCAAAGGATAACAGTGCCATTTGCAGTGGCAGCTTCTTATCAGATACATTCTCGATTAGAGGCAGCTGTAAACAGCAGCTGTCGTGAATGAGAGCTGCTTTGTTTACAGCTTGTATATCTGCAGTCTGGGCTAGCAACCCATCCCCCTAAGAAGCCCCACTGCTACAGAAATGACGAACATCTGTCCTTGAGTGAAACCTCGTCACCCTGATGTGCTCAGCAGCACGTGAGGAACAGCACATATCCACAGTCTAGGTCATCTTCTTTTCCTTTTTGAATGGTGAATACATATAATGTTACCTGCTGGTAGGGAGTTATTTCTCTCATGCAGGTGCAGAACTTATGTGCTAGTTGGCTGTAGTTTGTGCAGCAATATACTATGAAATGTCTGCTATAGTACTTAGTGTTTAGCATTAGTGCATAGTATTTTGGGAAACACAAGAGATTTCTTTCTGTCCTTAATTTGATTCTTTTTTTCTTCTACTCTCAGGGGACAAATCAGCATGATGTGCAGGAGCTGAACAGGATTCTGTTCAGTGCATTGGAGCACTCTCTTGTGGGCACTGCTGGTAGTACATTTATTCAGCGGCTCTACCATGGGACCATTGTCAACAGCATTGTCTGCAAGGAGTGTGGAAACATCAGCCAGAGACAGGTGTGTCCATACATACCCTGTGTGCAGGGTTTCTCGGCCTCTCTGACGTGGCTCCTTCATGATGTTATATTCTGACCATTAAATAGTTTTGGATTTTTTTTATTTTTTGTCTTTGGCTCAGAAAGATTTGGTAAGGATGGAACTATAAGATTTATCCTAATGTAATAAATGGCAAATGTTACTAGTTAACTCAGTTCTGGTGCAAATGCCTGTTTCTGCCTTCTTTAGGAGGACTTCCTGGACCTAACTGTGTGTGTTTGTGGTGTGTCTAGCCTGGAGGAGGCTTTGTGGGACATGTTTGTGGAGGAGGAGTTGTTCGAGGGCAATAACCTATACTGCTGTGCACAGTGTGACAGGCTGGTCACTGCTGCTAAGGTCAGTGCCAGCATTCAGAATGTGTTGATACCATAACAAAGGTTATAATACAGTAAACCTTAGGGGAATATATAATATGTGTTTTCCCTCTTTGACATTTTGAACAAGCCTAATATTAATATTCAGTAGATAAATACTAGATGCTTTGTGCTGTTTCTCATCTTCATTTGCTACACTATTATGCAGTCTGCTAAGCTGAAGAAGCTCCCTCCTTTCATGACCATGTCTTTGCTGAGATTCAGCTTTGACTTTGCCAAGTGCGAGCGATACAAGGAGACTAGACGCTACAGGTTTCCCCTCACCATCAATCTACGGCCATTCTGTGAACAGGTCCGTGACAGATTTTAACACTGATCCAGCTTCTATTTAGTAGCGGCACATTTAAAACAAAATTTTTGTCAGGCCTAACCTCATCAAGGATGGCTTTGATTAATGCTTAGGTTTTTCTCCCTTCCAGACTGATGGAGAGGACTCTGATTACTCCTATGAGCTGTTTTCTGTGATTATCCATAAGGGTGGCTGCTATGGCAGCCCTTACCATGTTTATATCAGGGACATTGACCAGCTTGGTCACTGGGAGTCACTGGGAGCCACCGGTGAGGAAAGCAACAGAACAAACAGGAGGACGAGAGCAAAACACATAAGCAATTATTCGTTGAGTAGGAGATGCCATGCTACAACTAGCTAATTGCTAATTCCAATTAAATGACTTTTAAAGACAGCTGATTGCTAATTATTAGCTGTTTTTTTGTACATTACTATCAGAAATGTAAAACAAAAAGGGGAGGGTGGGCTGTTCAGTTCTGCAGGCCTTTGAATGTGTGCTTTAGGAAAGACACCATATCTGTGTCTTATTGTCAGGAGGAGGATGGCAAACCTAAGACTCAGCGGAAAGTCAAGGAAGAAGTCCAGGAAGTGTGTGAGCCAAAACTACAAGAAAATGATCCTCTGTCTGTCCTCACTGCTATTATTGCCCAGGTACAGTAATGATAGTTTTATTACTTTCCTTTGCTGAATTTTATATAGACTTTAATTATTATTGAATTATTTTCTGCCTCTTAGGAGCCATCAAAGAGTGTCCTAATGGACCAACTGGGCCAGAAACTCATGAATATGATTGGTTCCTCCTGGAGCAAAAGGTTCAGAAGACACTATGGCCCCATAGGAAAGGTATTTTTGGTTTCTTTGTGAGTTATTGGTAGTGTACTTTTATGCTAATTCCAGTTTTGTTTCTAAATTTTCATCTTTTCATCTTCTGATAAACCCTTCTATCTTTACTTTTTCTCCTCTTCTGATATAGTTCCTGCAGTCTCACAATGATGTCTTTATATTGGTGTCCAATGGTACACAAGTGGCACTGAAGGCAGCCCCGCCAAGCCCTGTGACTGAGCCCCCTAGTCCATCAGAACAGACCACTAACTCTGATCCAGCTCCAGACCCGGGAGCTGCTGAACAACAGCAAGGACCAGACCAGAAGCCAGAGCCAGAACAAGAGGTAATGGACTACGGAACAGTCTGGCTTTAGCAGGGATTACTTTGATGCCTGTTTCTCATGATGTATCTTCCTGTCTGTCAGCAGGGTAACCACTGGTTTGATTTGAATGATTCCACGGTGACCTCCATCAGAGAGTCTGACATAGAGAAGCAGTTCCAGGGAAAAGAGAGCGCATACATGCTGTTCTACAGAAAAACACAGTTGTGCCGGCCCAGTGAAGGTAACAGACACCATGCTTTCTATTTACTAGTTGTTTGACTAAGATATGGAATTAGGGATGAATAACAGAAAAAAATAAACTGAGATCATGCTGAATAAAAGGTCTATTAATTATTGATTTCATTTTGATAATTACTTTTCATTTATCAAGTAAATAGAAGATGAATTACTAAGATGACAAACACACACGTATAATATATGTTTACAAAATACAATACAATGTTTTAACATTTTCAGCTCTGAACAATCCCCAATAAAGCTCCTTCTCACTTCATCAAGATGGTCGAGGAGGAGAATATCAAGCTGCAACAGATGCGGTACAGAAACACACATATTCATTGATTATTACACTTTTGTTTTTTAATAGGTTATGACTGACAATTCATCCACAACCTAATGACTCTAATGCTTTAGTGGTATCTAAAACTCCAATATAAGTGAATACAAGTATCAGCACAGCACTTGCAAAAAACTGAAGGTTTATGTAAATTAAAGAATTTTTGATATGAATCATTACTCAAAACATGTTTCTATTACAGCGAGAAGTTTGAAGCCACCAATAACACAGTGGAGCTGCGTCTGCACCTGGCACCTTGTTATAGGTTAGAAAATGGATCCCTGCAGC